TCCTCTTTTCTCTTGTCCTCTTTAGTGTCTTCTTTGGCCTCTTCCCTAGTTGTTTCTTTGACCTCTTCTTTGGCATCTCCTTTCGGGTCTTTTTTCTCGTCCTTCTCAGCGATTTCGTTGTCATAATTCTCCACACCCTTCTTTGCATCTTCTTTTGCGTCTTCCTTCAGAGGCATTTTCCTCAATCTGGGTATAACACCCAGATCGACATCATCCTCATTCAGAAGCTGCACAATCGACTCCTTCTCTTCAGCAATAGACTTGGCGTCATCTTTGACTTTGGTCTCTTGTGTATCATCCGTGATCACGCTCTTCGACTCCTCAGTCGGGACGACGACAGCCTCTGCAGACGCAGGCGCCAACTTCTTGGACGAAAAGTATTTCGACTTCCATACCTTCTTAAACTTGGGAGGTATAGAATCCATGAAAGACAGGTGTTCGGAATGATGTTCTCTTGCTGTGGCAAAAGGGGGAAGGGATCCAAGTGAGAGATTTAGGGAGGGGTTTAAGAGGGACTACGGGCAGAGTTCGGAATGTGACAGAGGTGCCATTCTCCAGATTTCCGGATCTGGCGCCAGTATCTCACAGCCAAAACTGTGCTGGGATTCAACAACCAACAAGCGAACATCTTGACGCAGGGCCCTCTGATAGATATATCTGGGTGCATCGAATACACTGGCCGCATACTGGATGACTTGAAATGACGATAGCGCCCATTGTGGGCCGATAACTGGGAGGAGTACAGTTGTGCATGCAATCCCGTGAATTGACCAGTTCTGGCTCGCGCTGCCACCATCAAGCGCAGACCAAGAAAGCCTACGAAATTCCTAAGGAAATTATAATCGTGTTTGATTTCATACAGCGCAGCTCGTGAGCAATTTCAAAGCGTGGCAAAGAACCTGCCGATGGTCCCAAGCGATAGCACGGGCCCAAAAGTCGCCACGAGTCACATGGAAGCGGAATCCAACTGAAGAGAGTCAGGAGACGGGCGTCTGACGATTTCGGAATGAGGTAATGGAAAAGATGTTCGATTTGAAAACATTATCCATAGATACATAGCAATCCTTCCTCATATGTAGCCACCATCTGGTACTAGAACATAAACATCATACACGACCAACTATAGTAGTTATCTCAAGCAAGGGTACCCTATCAATAAAAGTCAGTATTCGTGCGAAGAAGAGGAGTATATGCGTACCATTGGATCCCAAGCAGGCAAGACATGAGCCTCTCCATTGTCCAAAACATCGGTGAATTCCTTCTCGGCCAAGTGACGAGGAGTGACCACTTGATAGACGAATCTATAGATAATTAAGCCACTATAAGAGACCGATATGCTGCATTACTCACTCGTCGAACCATTTCGAGGTCATGACAAAGAAGCCTTTATCACCAACGTTTTCACCCCAGCTATTCTCAACCTTGAATCGGACAGGCTTTCCATCTCCATCGAGATGCACAGCCGTGATGACCATGGCATGGGTCATCGACGACTCTGAAGTTTGTAGTCGCTCAGCTTTAGTGAGACCTAAAGGATCATCAGTCTAAGACAATACAATGCGTTATTCTCGGTACCAACCTAGTTTGATGCCAAAGGCCCTCTCGTAGTCATAGATCCCAGTGTCCATGATTCCCAACGACGACTGAGACGATTGTCCAACATCACAGCCAAAGAATACAGGAAGACCACCACGAATGCACTACAGAAAGGATGAGTATACGAACCAACTATAGCCACGAGAGCAGCTCACCTTTACGACAGCTGCCTTCATATTCTCGCTCGTCGTGTTGACATAGCGCACCGTCTTTCCACCCCAAACATTGCCCAATCGATCCACAGTATAAAGCTTGCCATACTCATTCCTAGGATCATTGATCAAACTAAACGCCTCCGTCGGCTTATTCTTCCCACTCTCCCCAAACGCCTTGTAAAACTCGACAGGCGTGCCCGTCCACGACTTGGCCTTTTCATCCTTATCATAATATTCCCACGTAAACGGTTTATTGGGAGACGGAGGGACACCCAGGCAGATGGTAAGGATGTTGTAGATCTCGCGCATGAACTCTTCCTTTTTCTTGCGCAACACCGCGATCCTCGCCACATCCGCTTTGTCGGTCTGGCCTTCACCAGCAAGACGGACGTACCATTCCGTGGCGCGTAGAGCTTGGTCGAGCTTTCTCAGTCGGAGAGCGTGCTCGCGTACTTTGGTAGTGAGGAGGCGGTCCATGCGGCCCGAGTTGGACGACGAGTACGACTCGGGGTAAATAGGCTGCGGCACCACACCATACCTCTCGAGGAGATTGACCGCCATATCCCATTGACCACCATCGTTGAGTGGGGCCAGGCTCAAGTACTGCACCAGTCGCTCATCCAAATCTCGTTGCGCCAATTCCATGCTATTTTCGAGGTAATAGTTGGCCTTTTCTAGCTTGTCGTAGAAGAAGAGGTAGCTCTGGCTCAGTTGGAATTTGGCGTCTTTGGCGAGGTTGAGAGTAGGGTGTTGAGCGATGCTGTAACGGAGGACATTTGTGGTGGAGAACAGCCAGCAGCGTCCACTTGACAGTTGGTTTGTGATTGGGTTGGTCTTGTAGGGTAGTGTAGTGTTGAAGATGAATGTGTCATCAACCACGGGTGCCCTCCGGAGGAGAGACGTGTTGATGTCGGTGTGCGAAATAATTGTTCGCGATAAGGATAAGACGGGATCCTATTGAAATAAGATGAGAAAACACATTCACGGGCCGTCCCCGTCGGTCAACAACTCGCCTTGGACGCCTTCTCCTCCCACTGCTTGAACAGCCCTGATTCTAGTGACCCATAAGGACTCGTAGGTACACCGTTCAAATCCAATGTGGCCAAACTATCGGCCAACTCCTTGGCCTGCTCCACGAGGGTCTCCTGTTCAAGGCGCTTGTCCACAAATTCAGGGGCTGCCGGCTTGGACGTGTTGGCTCCCATAGTTCCAAAGATATAAAATTATACGATAAAAGAAAACAATAAGGTGGATGAGGGTGTGTT